TTTTTACATCGTGTCAAAATGTGGACCTGAACTGGTTGAAAGTGTCCCACCTAAACAGTATACTTCGTAGTCAAATATCCTCTAGAGTGCTGTCCCAGGTCTTCTGTCTGTACGGGAGATACGCAGTGGTCTTGTTAATTGACAAGAAATGCCTTATGCATCTGTGGCTATTTCAAACAGATAAATTTAAACTTCGCAATTCCAAAAGCATATCTTAATTTGAGATTTACCATTGTTTCCAAGAGTTATGTACTTTGTCAGATTTCATAGCTTAAAAAAAAAAATGCAAGTACGTAATAGGCTTCCATCCCTCTGTCAAAATGCAGGCGAACGGTCTAAACCTGTCCTTTCGTACCTCTACACAACAGCAGTGGAAATGCACGCCACTTCAGTACTATTGCACGTCACACTAGTGACTAACGACGAGGGAATCCCTAACTCCTGGCTTCCTAAATGATTCCCCAGATGATCATATATTAAATACGTATCAATGCTGTAATTTTAATTCCCTCACTGAACGCGGTCCCAGTTGGTGAATCTTAAAAATGGCTTAATCAGACTAGGCTTGCTCAGATATCAATACTATTTGAATTTGCTGTCAAACTTGCAGGTTCCTAGGTGATAAGGTGCAACCATTTGTAATTATAAACAAATCTTCAGGACACCAGAGTAAAACAGCCCGAGACTTTTATTTTGATTTGAAATTATTAGCCATAAAGCAGAGCATATGGATGGCTCTCCTTGGCTTTTGATGGCAGTATGCAATTTGTATTGTATGTGTCTTTTAATATATATGTATATATATATGAACTCAGTCTGTCCAAAGTATATGTTATACTTGTTTTTAGATTATGGTGCAACTGACTATATTGATATATTATTTATTGAGTGCTGAATCACCATCTTATTGGTGATAAATATTGCATATTATACAGGAGTGCAATGTATATTCCTTTAGATTGCTGAGGCTTGATTGCTGTGATAACAAAAAAATGCCCTGAAATGTATTTATGAATGGCCCCAACATACAGAGAGTCAGTACTTTATGGAAATAATGTAGCACTTGCCTGGGGCAAGTAAAATAAAGCCGTAGGCAGATAATTATGTCGTTTGCCAAAATGGCAAACTACTGGAAAGAGAGACTACCTTTGCTGTATTTAATATTTCATTTACCCAACAGATATTTGCTGTCACTGCAGTGTTTATATTAAGGCAGATACAAAAGGGCCTGAGCAAGTCAAGTTTGAATTACCCATTGGGGAGTAAACAGCTTCCAAATTCTTAGATTTCTGACAAATACTTTGGTCGGGGTTTAAATTACTCCCATCTGATGAATCAGTGTTACGGAAAACCCTGAGTTTCCAGGCAACAAAGTTAATGCTAGACATCTTTAAGTATAAAGAGTAGCCAAAGCTTTTGCTAGCCAACTCAGACAAATCCAGACCTATTCCAGGAGACAAATTTCCTAAGTGGGAAAGTTACGTAAACTCAAACAATCAGGGAACCGTGATGTATGTCCAACTCCATTACTTTTCGAGGAATTGGTCTCTGCTGCCATGATGCCATGTGAAAACAGCAGTGTTGGGGCGGGGAGAGGCAGGGAGGGAAGGGTCAGCTGTACAGTCAATAAATTCTTCTCCCAGTATGCGTGTGGCAGAGCAGCAGCTCTGGTCTGTGCGCGGTCAGCCTTTCGGACAGCGTTGGCTCTCTGCTCTCTGCCAATACTCAGCTGAGTTTCGGTCGAATACGCTATACGGAGCAATTTGAAATGCTGTGGCACAGCATAGAGTTTATGTAGGCTATCTTCATGTAAACGCTTCACCTGTTTTAATTTCATCTGGAAGCTTAATGGAAGTGTATCCATTCCTGGTGTAACTCTCCACACGTGCTAACAGAGCTGATACCGGCAAATTGGAGTGCAGTGTTCCCTGTCTTCAGTTTTTATATGCAGCCCTAATCGTTGATGTAGTTGGGTGCACAGTACTTCTGCAGCGTTTGTTTTTGGCTGCATTGGCATTATACATCTGAAAACTCAACTCTAAGGACCAGGCATGACTTTTGCAAGCACAGTTCCTGACATTTGTATCTGGTCCCCCTTTTAAATTGTTTTAAGAAATTTTGTATATGGAGGATAAAGTGCTTATATATTTATTAAAAATCCTTTATCTTATTTGAAATTATTATTTGGTGAAGAAGGGTTTTTCTTTTGGGGGAGGGCTCGTGGGTGGGGGAAGGTAACTTTTAACCTGTCACTTATAAATGAAGCCCTTATTAATCATACAGAAAGGTACTGTTAGTAACTATAATGGGATGTCTCTGTTTTATGCTTTGTACATGACAAGTCCATGTGTTACATTTTGTTTCTATCAAAATATTTAGGCATCTGTCTTCAACCAAAACCTAAAAAAAAAAAACAAACTGTGATTTTATTTGTTGCAATACATTTGAAATTTCAAAGGGTACTTTGGGGCTCAAAATTAGGATTTCTAAGTCAGTATGTGCATTTCACGTAATAAAGCTGTTAATGGTGAGCAAAGTATTATATACTAACTAGATTTTTTCCACATCTGTATAGTATATTCTATGTATTTTGTGGTATTGAGATTATAGAAAGTTTAGTGTCTGAAACATGCGTTTAATGTGTATTTTTAAACAAATTTATGGCAATTAAAATATTTGGAGAAAAGGGTATCACATTTCAATTTGTAAAGATCTTTTTAACTACTGTGTCATTAAAATGCTTTGTACAATGCAAAACTGTAACTGGAGAAACTAAGTTTAATAAATATCAAATAGATTTTCTGTATTAAACTTCAAAAACACTGTGCTCGTATCTGTTGCATGGGCTTTCTCCTCCCTGGTATTGCATTTTTAAGCAGAGTTTTCTGTTTTGATCCTAGTGCTCTATGCATAACAAAAGGAAAATTGCATTCAGTATTTGTGTCCCAGACTTGTTGATATTTGTCTAATCAAAAGTGGCTTTGTTTCTTTCGGCCCTCCGAGTTAACACACAGCAGGTCAAAATTGGGTTTTGATCAATTTATTTTAAAATAGTAGATACTTCAGTGGCAGAAGTCAGTCTAGGACATTTATTTAAGTAAATTTGATTAGAAGTAATTAAAAGTAAATACTTTTCCTTCCAGTTATCACTGGATATATTTGGGATACTGAAAATGCTATCAGTATTATCGGTTTGTTTGCTCCCTCTTTCTAACAGGCCTTTATCTGAAGTACTGGTAAGAGTTCAGCTGTTGAGACTGAAATGAGATGGAAGCATGATCTACTTTATGCACTTCCCAGGTTGAAGGATAAATGTCTAAAGTCCAGTTTGAAATAAGCACTCCGAAATGCCAGCTGTGCACTCATCATACACTTTGCTCACAGGATACAAGGAAAACCAAGGTATTGAGCAAAAACCAAGGTGGTTTGCTGAATATAAATTTTTAATTCACACCTTTAAAAAAAAAAAAAAAAAGAACCATTACAAAAAACCAAAACGAACACGAGATGCAGAGTCCTTTTACTGAGCTTGGCCAGAGAGTCATCCTGAAGCGTGTGCTGCAGAGGTACAGCCTTGGTTAGGAAATGCTCTCAAGTTGTTTAAAGTCCTTTTTTATCAGTTCATATGACAGAAATGTTAAATATACTTATTGCTTGATTCACTGTCCTAGCTTTTGAACAGTCAATAAATATTTCACAAGTAGAGCGGAGCATTGTTAGCAGTAACAGTGATGGGCGTTCTTCATCGTGACAGGTCACTCTGAGGCTGTTCTGAGGAAACAGCGGTTCTTCCTGGAAAACAAAACATCATCAGGCACTGACGGCTCGGACTGCCAGCTGCGTAGGGCTCAGACATACATCCTCAGATACATCCTTAGCAGCGTTCCTCTTACCCAGCTGTACAGCAGTGCTTGTATTCAGCTCATGTAGCCATGCACATTGTATTCACCTTCTTATTCAGTTCACCTCGATTCATTTTGTGTTCTTTGCTTTACATAATAACTACAAAATGCATGTTAGCCAGGGCTGTGTGGTCTGGCTGCAGTGTAGAAATTACACACAAATGAAATCCCTTTCTGTCTATATCTTCCTGTAGCTGCTGTTAGAGTTCACCTGTGTTAATCAGTAGAACCAAATGATGCATTTCAAATGCATGCAAAATAGCAGGCCGACTACCAGGTCCTATTATATTTACGTAGAGTAGAGAGTGGATATATTCTACCCTGTCTCTGCTTTCTGGTATGTGTACAGTAGGTGCCACACAAAATCAGCTTTCAGTCACTAAGTAGTTATTTTAACTAATCAGTTTAATTGTATGTAGTTGGACAATTTGTTTATGTCTAGTGTTCATGAGAACTAAATGGTTTTTGATATTTTAGTTGTCTTTTAAACTATGAGCTTAAGTAGTCACCTTAAATTGATTAATTTAGGGTAAGACACTGCTTTTAAATAATATGCGCTTTAAAGTGAACAGTATTGGCTTTAAGAAGGATTGATTTTAAGGTGTCTAAGTGATTATCTAAAAGCTGTCTAGAATCCTATGTTCTTTTTTGAAAAGACAGGTTATTTGGGGTTGCGATGAAAGGTCTAAGGCTTGTAATCAAGGGCACTTGGACTCTGCTCTGTTTGCATTGCTTACAAAAGATGTCTAAGTCTATTGCCCCATCCGTATTCCTGGTATCTTTTTTTTTTATGCACAGAATTAATTCCATATCTCGTTTGGGTGAGAATAAGTGGGAACTTCCTTTACATCATATAATATTAAGAGTCGCTGAGCCTGAACATTGATCAGGATTAGTTACCTGCACAGCATTGTAATGCATTCACTATTATCCCTGCACGAGGCTCCAATGGGTCTTAGTGAGACTCCTCTCCAGAAAGGTGTCATCCGCCTCTGTCTTGTTAGCTGGGGCTGTTGTTGGTGCAAGGAAGCGCAGTGTGCCTGAAACAGTTGTAGCACGACTGTCAGAACATGCAGCAGCTGTAAGCGGTTGGTCATTCTGATGCTGAGGTCAATAGTCTTAAAATTAAGTGAAGAACTTGAAATCTTTCTCGTTTTGAGATCATAGCATGCTCTGTTAAAGTATAATTGCTTGTATCCTAACCCCAAAGAAGTAAGAACTATAAAAATTAACTGTTTTTCAGTTGTCTTGGGAGGGGAGGCAGAATTACTTGCCAAGTCATGTCTTGGAGTAACCCCGTATTCACTAGGCTGTTACTCTACTTTTTTATGATGTTGAACCCTCTAAAAGAGCTCTGCTGTCACCTCCAACTCCTGCCCATTGCTCTTATTCACATAGATCATAACAGTTTTTATTAACTACCAGACCATTTCAATTAGCACTTTAAATAGTTATCTCTGTTTACCTGGCTGAGCAGCAGTGAGCAGAGCAGAAAGACTGCCATCACCTTCCAACAGTGCATCTTCACAGTACGAGCTGTCACACTGACTGTAGGACCAGCCTTGGGGGGAGGAGGTAGGAAGAGCCCCAAATAGAACTTCCCAAGCTTCAGCTAGATTTTTATAGACTTCATTCTCTTATCATTTCATCAGCTGTCAGTCATCACAGGAACAAAGTTCGTTTCGGAGCAAGAGGGAATTACTAAGTTAGCATCTGCTGAAGTGATCTGGTTCAAGGCCTGTCTGGCTGGCTAATGATTGACTCTCCTTCCACTTGTACTTTGTCTGGTCAGCTTACCGGTTGCACCAACTCTTCCTTTTTTTTAAAACCTACCTAACGTGTTACCAGAACTCCATGGTGTATTTGCAAGCAAAAGGGTGGCTGGCCCAAAGTATTATGGTAAAGATCAAAAGCCACAACCTTATTTAACTTCTGTGACATTCACAGGGTGTTCAGCTTTGAGTTTGTGAGCTGGGGGTAAGTATTGTCTTACCAAGCTTATTTGGAGCAGAGAATCGTGCTTTTGATTCTGCTTCTCACTCTTGGTACATGAAAGAATCATGAGGAAGTTACTTAACCTTCCTTTCCACGCACACAGTACTCAAAAAGCAGATGTAAGACTTTTCAGATGGGTTTTGGAATGTAAAAAGTTATTTTATGCATGATAAATAATAGACCTCTTTTTCCAGGGACCCTAATGTATAGTTAAAGACAATAATCTCTAGATAGCAAATCCCAAAAGTTGAAGAGACTGCTGCAAGGGTTTTCTGGAGCTGAGTTGCTCCATGTGGCAAGACTATGGTTTCTTTAGATGAGCCATCTCTGCTACAGTCTGCCTCTGTACCTTACAGCGCACTCACAATGGTGCAGACGACTCCCATTGATGTGGATGGGCAGTTTGTAATCAAGACGAATCTTAATTTTTCCATTGTGAAATGAGATTGCAACAGCCTAGAGAAAAGAATGTTTAAGAAGAGCTATTACCTCTCATCTTCTCTATAATCCTCTGTTTACGAACATTGGGACAAGTGGGAGAAGTGTATGTCTAAGATTACCAGTCTGTAAATGGACCTTGCTGGTACTCGCTGCTCCTCCTCATCTGTGAGATCTTGTGCATCTGGCTCCCACATCTGTCCCATGTACACCATCTCTGTCAGGTACAAGATTTTTGATGATTGCAGAGTCAAATAAAGAGAATACTTGACATGAATAAATTGGTATGTGTAGGTTTTGGAGCACACTATGTTTTAAGTCACTTCAAGTAGAAAGATGCTGTATAAAACAATTAAGTATGTTTTAGCTAAATTGTAAACACAAATCTGGATGTAATGGCTTACCGTGTTCTGTGATTGTTTAATAAGGAGGCAGAAGTGCCAGCGTGGAAGGCAAGTTACTCAGATTAAGATAATGCCATGTTGTCAGGTTCCTGTCTACATATGATTACCCCTTAGCCCACACTTCACTGGGATTAAACAAAAACCCTTCCTAGTGTATTGGTGTACAACCACTACTGGAAAATTTGTTCCTTTCCTAGGGTTCTTTGTACACTCTTTCCTCTGCCCTGTTCGTCTTGCTTCCCTGGGAGGAGGAATCGAAACCCTTCATTATTTCACCTTCCTGTGTCTTATGTAGGGAAGGAAAGGGGACAGTAAATGATGGCACATCAAATAGCTGGACTTAGAAGTTTCTTTTACATTTGGCTGTGAATTTCTCAATTGTTTTTCCCATGAAGTCCTTTCTTTACATGCACCAGAGTTCTAATTTCTGCTATTTCCACTAGGCACTAGTATAGAACAGAGAAAGGAAAACAAGAGGCGGCAGCAGTAGTCTTGACTTCATCTGTGGAGCACAGGATTTGAAATGACAGCTCTTTCAACTCTGACAGCAGTGCCCTCTGTAAGTCACGGTTTCTCGGCTAGGTTAAGACTAGTACTTTGTGACGATATGTCAAAATTGCTGTGTGTCCTGGGTTACTAACAGCGTCAGCATATCCCTTTCAGGCAGCAATCTATTTACTCTGTGCAGGAAACTGGGGAAGAAAGAAAAAAATTGAACCGATTGTTTCCACATACGCAAGTCCAGCATGCCAGTAAAAAGCCACAGCAAAGAGGCAGGTTAGAACAATGCAACATAACAAAAAAAGACACGAAATGTTGCTCTGTTGCCACTTCCAATGTTTAGGAAAGGGAGAACTGAAAAATGACTGACAAAATTTCAAGCACCTTGTTCAGATTCTGAAATACCCACCGGCCGAACTCCCAAATGCCAGCAGGAGCTGTATCCCTGCTGGTAGCAGTCTCTGCATCCAGCTCCCTGCCCGGCGGTCTGGGTGAGCGCAGGGGCATGGGAGCCGGAGGGCGGCTCGGCAGGGCTTGGTGGAGCAAAGGGTGAGGAGGCCCAGCCTGCCTCCTGACTCACTGCTGACATTGCAGCGGGGCTGAGCCGCTGCCCGAGCAGTCGCTGGGCTGCGGTGCCTTGGGTAACGGGTCACCGGCTGAGGTGAAGGTGCCACGTTGTTTACAGTAGTCTAGCAGCTGGTTCAGAGGCAGTTCAGCTGCCTGAATGGGGGCAGGGACCTTGTGAGAGAGACCGAGATGAGCTGCTCACCTTCAGCAGAGTAGGCGAGATGAAATGCATTGAAAAACTAGCATTTGCTGAAGCTACGAACATAAAAGTTCACACATGCTATCATTTAGGCTACCCTTCAGCTGCTGTGGGCTGCTTGAGATGTCTTTGCCAGCTCTCACAATCGTAGTAGCCAGTTTGTTGTTCCCTGCTTGCTTAAGCTGCCTAGAAAATACCAACAAACTGAAATGCAGAGTTAAATTTAAGCACAGAGTATTTTTGGCACAACTTGCAGCACTGGGTGACTTGTATTACTCCTGTTTATGCTGACCTCGGACTGCTTGGAGTAAACACAAGAGCAGTAGGAACAGCCCTAAGATGGAGCTTAGTCTTATGTGCTTTTTAAACATTATGTTAAGAGCCCCAAAAGAATAAGGCATTCAGCTATAAAAATTGCATGCCCCCCAAGAGACTGAGCATCTTTATCTTCCAGACAGCCCAGCTTTGAGCACACCAAGTCCCTAACGCAGGGAAATGACGCTCATGGCCTGTGGATAAGATAAACTCTCAGGACCGGCTACAAGAATAGCATGACAGGGAGATAAACGTGTTGCTTTGCATGGTGCATGAGCTTGAGACAGTCAGCTCAAGACTGAAAGGAAAAAGAGGGATGAAGGAAGAGCCAGATGTTCTGGACTTTCAACAGTGAAGCTTTTTTATATGCTCAGAGCCACAGGGTGAATTTCTTTGTCACATACTCAAGTAACTTTACTACTACCATTTGATTTTAAATCATCTTCAGGTATTAAATAGTCTTGTTTCTCCCGGTGGTTTCCAAGAAGCAGCTTCTAATCCAGCCTGTTAACACTAATCAGATATCAGAATTGCAGTTAATCATCTGATTAACGTTAATAAATACAGTAACTAGGTAATTAGTATCACAGAATCATAGAACAGCCCAGGTTAGAAGGGACCTCAAAAGATCATCTGGTCCAGCCATTCGTGGGAAGGGAGCCCAGATGAGGTTATCTGCCACCTGAAAACCTGTGGCAACAGGGGCTCCACCATGTCTCTGAGGAGGTTGTTCCAGCGATCAATTGTTCTCACAGTAAAAAATTGCTTTCTTGCATCGAGATGAAACCTCTCCCAGTGCAGCTTGTCCCCGTTGCCCCTTGTCCTCTGCACAGGGCAACTTGGGGAGAGCGAGCCTCTGCACAGAGGGTCAAAGTCCACGTTCGATCCGAGCTGTCAGCCAGCTCATGCAGTTTTTGTCAATATCAAATCAGGTGGCCTATTTGTTTTTCACATATATCAAGGTTAAAGGAAAAAGCAGTGGCCAGTGATGGAAAGATAAAGAGAGCAATGAGCTGTTATTTTGGATCATCTCCAGCTGAAGGCAGCCTTTGCTACACTAGTTATACTGAGAAATGTTTCACAGAAACAGGAGTCAAAAAAGGCTGGAAATGCTGTCATATAAAAGAGTTTGAGTGCACAGAACTTTAGCCTGATCATCTCCCTTTACAGCGTGAGCCAGACAGAGATGTGATGCTACTCACCTTAAACATCTCAAGACACAGATTTCACACAAAGGCATGGGGCAAAGTTAAAGTTTATTAGACTCATCTCCCTCTCAATACCCCTCTAGTCACGCAAGCAAGCTTAGCAACACGGAGTTGATAATACAGCGAGGTAACAGTCTCCTTATTAACTCAGTTACTGGTCATTTTCATAGTCAGCAGGGTTCTTCCTCTTCAGTCTCTCAAACTCTTGCATTCCCCAGGAGTACAGGAGATAGGCTCCCACAAAGGCTGGAAAGCAAAGGGGACACTCACAAGTCACGCTGCAATAAGCACAGCACAGAACCACCGCGCTCCCGTGACAAAACAGCCTCACGCAAAGCCGCCGCTACACGGACGCCTCCCCCGTCCCCAAAATAATGCCGAGAAGGTAAAAAAAGAAAAAAAGGGGGCCTCGATCCCTCAAAGACCTCTCCCTGAGCCATCTCCCACCGTACTCACGGGGCACCACCTTGAAGACCTGGGAGCTGAAACGCCGCCAGATGTTGGGCAGCCCGTGGGAGAAGACGTTGGGGAAGGCGCGCTGCTCGAAGGGCGAGAGGCTGTAGGTGATGACATGGCGAACCCGCGCCAGGTTCCCGAAGTGAAGGCCCATGGTGTCACCTTCTTCACCCTGGCTGCCGCCGCGCCGCTTCCGCTTCCGGGGGAGCGGGCGGTGGCAGTTCCCTCAGTCTCTCCCCTCACCCCCTCAGCGAGGTTTATGGCCGCCGGCCGCTGTCCCTATAAAATCACAGTTTATATATCACAACCGTAAGAATTTAATCCTGCTGAAATTTCCTCTGAGCCCGGGGGGTGTGGGGGGGATTTTCAACGGCGAGTCGGTACCGCGTTAAGGGGGACACCCGCCCCAGGGGAGCGCTTCAAAATCCAAAGACGAGCTGGTCGTCAGAGAAGAGGCCGCCTTTTTGTGGTTTCCTACGTCAACAGCAAGAGGTCTTGAATATTACTATTATTAGAATAATTATCCCTGCAGACTAAAAATGGTGTAGCAGCATAAACCCGCCCTGGAGAATGCGGTCGCAACCTTTAATCCGGTAACGTATTCCCGAAGCTGCGTGTAGCTGACCCCAAAACGCAGTTTCTTTAGCTTGACTTAGGCATTTTGTCTTAAATAGGCTTTTCCATTTGTGTCACAGAAAGAATTAATTTTACTTTCCTCCTTGGCAGCTCGGTGAAGCTGAATTCCTGCTGTTTGAAAGGCATTAGCAGGGGCGATGCTGTATTAGGCAATTTGAATTAACCCAATCAAATGCAGCGTCGACTGTGGGCTGGGATTTTTTTGTTTGTTTGACATCAAGATATCTGCCTTGAGCTTTTGGTATTTATTTCAAACGAACCTTCAATTAGAGCCAAAGTGAGTGCTATTTTTAGTTCAACAGTTCCAGGCTAATGCAGTCTTCAGTTAGGAACTTCATTTTGATAGAAGCTATTTGACTGTTAGCCAGATCGTATTGCACCTCCACAGAGTGCTTCAGATCTGGAGAAGCATCACACCGACATCGACTAGTTCACAGGGATGAGGTAGACCTTTGTCAGGGTAACATAAAACCAGACACAGTCCTCTCCAGTTCAATCCTTCCCCCACCTGGCTGAATTCCCAGCCCCAGGCCAAGCCCTGTAGAATTCCACAGGTCATGATCTAAGGTTAGGGTCTGGTTAGGTAGCTTATTGTGGAAAGTTAAGGCACTTACGTATCAATGCATTAGCAAATCATCATTTTAAAGGCTATTCTTAATGAGCTTTGAGAAGACAGTGCTGCTCCACAGACTTCTATTCAAAAAAAACCAAAACTAAAATCCCACCAAAGCTGGAGTTTTGTGTGTGAGCCCCATCTAAAGACCTCTTAGCTTGGGTCCCCAGCCCAAAACCAGCATTTTTGACAAAGTTCTTAAAACTAGAAAAGTCTAAGAGAAAATAAATCAATTGTATTAAAAATCTTTTGAAAGCATATAGAATTAAGACACTATAATTTTATTGTGAGAGGAAACAAGGCTATAGCCCCACCTTTTCAGACTACTAAACCAGTTCAACAGCATTTAAATCAATTAATTTAATAGGCTTCTAAAAGCCTTGCCCCCCCCCTTAAACTGACAGCATTGCACATTTCTTTGCAATTCAGAAGCAAGTGGCAGTGTGGTTCCACATGTAGCTATCCTGTGCCCTCACCCCATGAACAGCTTATGGTTTGTTCTTGAACTAGATCAAGTCTTTCTGTTTTTAACAACTCACCAGTAAGCTGGTGCTGGTTCTTACTCAAATAGCTCAGTGATTTAAATTTTCACAAGTTACCACACAGCTGTCCTTAAATTCTTACCGCCCATTGTTGAGAAAACCCAAAGAGTGCAACAGAAGAAAAGCAAGAAACAACCTTGTAACTTTTTACAGAACAGTGAGAAGAGTTGACTTCTTGCTTGGGGAAACTGGAAACATAGTAGGGAAAAAGAATGAAAAACTGAGAAAGTAATTTTAACATTAAAGACTTTCTTCCTAGACACTTGCTGCAGATGTCACACAAGATCTCTTTATATAGAGGAAGACTAGCAGGCACTGGGTGTAAGTGGTGTGCATGATAGACATTTATTTCTTTTTTTAAATCTATAACAAAACCTCTTAAAATAGACATCTGGTAGTCAAAACCTTTTCCACATTTTAAATGCAAAATTATTCCAATAAAAAGATATTATTTACATTTAATTTCACATTCTAGAAAGGCTGAGTGGCTACAAAAATAAGTGCTATGATGTAAACACCTTCTGCTAACTCCATGCTAAATCCTAACCGTTTTTACAGAGCTATTAGAATTACACAAATACTATTCATTTGTTTATAGCTACAGATACTTTGAGGACGCAGAAATATCCAAACCCAGATTAAAATCGATTAGGGTTCACCCACTACCGACAAGTGCACTTGGTAGCTATCATATCTTCGTACTCTTTGTAGACTATGGAGCCATCGGGCTCTATGGTTAAGACACTCAGTGGGCTGTATTCAGCAGGAACACAGGAGGGCTTTGGAACAGAGGAGTCCAGTTTCTCATATATTATGTTCTGTACCATTGTGTGTACCGGAGAGCCGTAACGATGCCCGACAACCCTTGGGCAGTCACCTTTACAATACTGAGGGCTGTACCTGTGTGGTGCTATTATCCATTTGTCCCATTTTAGTTGGCTAAAACTTAGACGGAAGTTGTGAAGCTCACACTCATTTTGAGGGAGCAGAAATTGTTTTATATATTTGCTCAAATTATGAGGTGGAGTTGCTGGTGCTTCTTTAAGATTCTCAGCTCTTCGCTGTCGAGAGGCCCTTTTACCTTGTGAATTCTCTTTTCCTTTGCCACCCGTAGGATCAACAAGCGGACTGTTCCTTTGCCTGGGCCACACTGGGTTTTTCCTTCTGTGTCTAAGTGAGTTCCACCTGTGATAAGCTTGCTCACTGGTATCATTCAGATAAAGAAGAAGAGAAGGGGGAACCAGTGCCATATTAATTGCATTTTCCAGTTTAGTGTTCTGTTGTGGATCACCCATCAAACAAGTGACATTCACAGCCATATGAATATTCCTCCTGTTAGTAGCAATTAGAGGCTGGAGAAAAGAAGTCACATCAATCTCAACCCACTTGCGTTTTCTAACTTCAAATTGCAGGCTAAAAGGTATAGAGTGCGAGAGGCTGGGACACACTTGGCTAGAAGAATCATGCTCCTTAACAGATAAATGGCACATGCATGTAATGGAAGAAGAAATGGGAACTGATGTGTCAAAGGAATAGAGCAAGACAGACTTGAGTAAGTGCTCTAGAGCAGTAACACGATCCAGGTTGAAGAGTAAATCCACCAAGTGAACATCTCCTGAGAAGGGAAACAAAATCTTGTCAAGTTAGTGCATCTTAATTTTCCACCTAGACATGAATACTATCGTGTAGTGGAGAAGTAGAAATAATTCAGCAGCAGAAGAAACCAATTTAGATGCCCTCCCTTACTTTTATTATATGGAATTTCTACTTCAGTCAGGGACATAAGATTTAAGAGTTAAGAAATGACAGCAAAACCAAGAAAACCCATGATTTTAAGAGGTATTAGGATTCATTTCATTAAAAAAAAATAGTACAGGAGGAAGTTAGCAGTTGTCTTTTCAGTGTTTATATGGGGAAACAGGAACTAGATGCTCCCAATTATACAAGCCACGAAATTAAATAGCTAAAGTTTTAAAGTGAATGCTTTCAGAGCTTTTTAGCATTAACTCCAGTTATTCTTCCTACTCATATATTTTTTCCTATTTAAATCTCTTGACCAGCAGCTGCCAGCAAGTCTGAGTAATAACAAGACAGAAATTTATTTATTAGCACTACTTTAAAAAAATTATCATTCTTTCATGGGAGTCACTTTGCTTTTATGAAGCAGAACCAGAGCTTCCAAGTTATTCTGAACACACACTCCTGTCCCATTCACCCCTACTGTAAGATAAAATACTCTTATCTTTTCCCCGATGTTAAGAATTTTCTGGCATTCTTTGAATTTGCTCCAATTTCCGTCTTATTTTGGGATTGATGAACCCATTTCCTGGCCTGTTTTCCAGATGTGGACATAGCCTATGTTTAATATATTGCTTTTTCTACTACTCGCCACTGTATTTTTTCTGTAATTAGAAATTTTTCATTTTTGACCACACAAGTGCGTTAAACGATCTCTTCAAACTTACATAGGCCAAATAATAAGAAATCATATGAGGGCTCTATAGACCTTGATAGACATATATTTCCTGTATTAATGATTTTTTTCTAAAATCATGAATTTGAATAACCTCAATAATTGTAGGAAGTTGGTTCAGATTCAGTCTGCTACTTAATTATTACTACATTTAGGATATATAATCACAAGTTTAACTGTTAATTGTTAGTATATTTATGAATCCATAGATTATACTATGCCAGGAAATTTTAGTCATAAACATTGATTTATTTTTATTTTATTTTTCCATAGTGAATGCTTCTTAACTGAACCTCAGTCTCAAAGTGCTGTTACTGTGCACAGGTATGATGTTTGTCTTTAAGGTTATCTGTCTAAGTAAAAAAATCCAAGTCAAGAGAGCTTGGATCACTTGTCAGCTATCACAGAATTAGAACTAAAGGCCAAGGATTTCTAGCTGCTGTTGCTGGGACCAGCCCATTAAGAAAACTGTGAAACCACAGTAAGTTACAATGTGCCCAGCCATCCTAGTTTTTCAGTCCTGAGCCCAATTTACAAGTAGTTCTGCTCTTCCCTTCAGGATATTCACACATTTGGGTTGTGATTCTTCCCTAGCAACTGTACAAGGCAAGGAGAAAAGTCATCTTGCAATGAGATTCTGGCAGTTTGTTACAAGTCTTATTACAGTGCTAAGTTTCTGTGGCCTTGAAAAAAGCCAGACCAAGATGGGCAGCAGAAGGAAACGTGATACCCATTATGCCTAACCATTTTGTCCACTTTTCTTACTTTACTTAGAACTGATTGTAGAGTTTTCTGTGACTCATAGTAAGATGAGTCAGCCTGAAACATCACTATCATCTTGATTGTAGTACCATTTGTGTGGCATTTCCCAAACTGTGGAGAAGTCTATGTCTAAGCCATTCAAGAAGTAGGTTAT